TATCAGACAAATAAATAAATAGTTGTGGCTTTTCGCACGTAGCAAAACATTAGTTGATTAGTACCAAATGATCTCGTGAGCCCACAAATTAGTCCCCGACAGAAAATTGGTGGACGAGCTCTCGTTATGGGCCCCAAAGTCCGCCCATTCGTCTGTTTATTCAATCTGGCGACGAAAATGGTTGTCATTTTTCTCACTCGTATGCTTTCTTTAGCACTATTTATTTATCTATTCGTCATATATATCAACCAACTATGTGTTACAGTTTTACTGCCAAAAATGAAATGATAATGGCACATCCTAGTTAGAGTGCATACAAATATCTTATTGAGCTAGTACTTCATCGTTTTATCTGAACACTAGTATTAAAGATCTAATATTCTGTAGGCGGTTATTTACAAGGTTTCATTTTACCGCAAGCCAAATTTTTATTCAAGAAATCAATGATGACAGACATTTCTTAAGAACCGATCCAAACAATCTTGAATAAAGTATGTTTTGAATTGACAGATAGTCGGCCCTTTTGGTCTTTATGTTGATATATCAATTATAGCAGCGTAAATATACAAGACGCACAGAGGCGACCTCTGGCATGTCCATAAATTTACACAAGGGTGCCATTTTGTGTAGATTTTGAAGCTTTTGCAGTCGGGACGTTGAGCTACATACAGTCTGCCGAAAATTCAAGCTGCAGAATTGTCTCTTAGAACTGTAGTAGACTCATGCACCGGCTCGTTGGATGGATAGAAGTGGGCGAACGATAGCGAATTTGGTTACTTAGCGTTTGATCGCAACGAATATTTGATTAGAGGGCCAAATCACTATCTATTTAAGCCCTGACTAGTTAACGCCTCGCTTATGTATTCGCAAAATCTGCAAGGTAACATTGAATTGCTTTACTCATTTCTCCATGTGATGCTGTGTAATAATATATTCATTCATGCTCTACCATAAGCTGTAAGTTTGTGAGTCGCGCCTATAAGCGATGACTGTGTGTGTTTGTGGGTGGGGTATTCCACTGCCAGGTGTTGAACGACACTTCGGGCTATAAAAGTATGTTGGTTTAAGAGAATTAGGGCACAGCAAGTAACCTCACGCCGTTCCGTTGTGTCTGTAATATTTCGACAAGGGAAATGTGGTGAAGGGTATATATGTATACCCTTCTGATGATGAACTATATATATATATATATAGTTCATCATGGCGTGTTAGCATTGCTGCAACGACCATATCCATTGCCGGAACTTCTCCTGTATTGCCAGTATAATAATGGCAACGGTCTTTCAACAGTGAACATCGACCAGTTGCAAGAGCTTTTTAGCAGAGATCTCTGTCGTCTATATCTTCACATGATCATACTTCAATTCATGATGTCTGTCATAGAACAATGGATATTAAGACAATCTTAGACAATACACAGTTCGCTATAGACCTGACGTGTTAAGCAGTAATTATCTACGGCACATATTTCTCCCTCTCTTCCTCCATATATATATATATATATATTTCACATGAATGCTACTCCTCATATGGTGCTTGTCCTTGTACCGAAATTGGTCCTTCGACATAGTTGGCCGAGGGCCGTTGAGCATATATTCATATCATTGTTCTACCAGCCACGAGATAGATAATTTCTTTGTTGTAAAGAAATACCATTCTTTTCTGCTTGTCTTTCGACCGATAGAATAGTCATGATGTGACACGGATTTATCGGCATGTGCTGTTAACCTTCAGCTTCAACTGCTTATTCGAGTTAAGACATCGAGGAGCAAGTCATGCGCGGAGAGCCCATTTGTGTCAGAACCCTATCAAGCCACTGAAGTGGCCCATTCAGATGAAGTTCGATCCAGCAAGGTGTTGAGGTCACCGTTTGACGCCTGAAGAACTCATATGAAGGTACAATCAGAAAGTTTACTTTATACCATCTGCGTTAAATACGGTCTTATCGCTAGCGAAGTAGCGAAGGATTTGAAACCCAAAAAATTAAATACAGTATAAGAAAAATGGTGTGATAAAAGCTGTTTTAAAATAACATGTGTAATGTACCTGTATTCGGCGCCCCATCCTTTAACAAACGACATCCGAATAGTACACATTCGCGTAAGTTGATAAACTGCTTCAAATCCCTGGGATACGCTTTGCGTGAGAAGGGCAGCAAATTCTTGGTTATTGAAGATTTTCAGATTGCACCCAGGGGGTATCTTACATACCGTCGCAGGATGCCAACCATAGCGTTGATTGCAATTGGGACTCTGAACGAAGATTGAACTCTCCGAAAGACATTCAGCGAACACCTGTTTCAATAAGCATAAATAAACTAAATAATCCAATTGGACCGACAGCTTGGGCTGATAAATATGCAGAGAGTAAAACCTCTTCGCATATTTATTAGCCCAAGCTGTTGGCGCGTAAACAAAGCTTGCGTCACGCACGTAGTATACTATGTCTCTACGACATGGTTTGAAGCAGAGACCTTTAGTTCTTTTAGCTAGATATAAACAACTAATTAATCACTCCATCCATATTAAAACACATACCTCTCCTCCGATATAATAAAGACGAACTCCACGCGTGATGTGCTTTCGCGTCTGTTCCACAACCGGATTGCGGTTTACATTGGACAGCAGGCCAAGGCAAAAGCGGTCACAACTTGAGGGGTCCGTGAAACTGGAACACATTAAACGATGCTCAACTATTTTACGCAAAGCGCATAATAATTCATAAGCTAAATATAATTAATTTCTATGCGCTATAGTAAATAACTGTTTTAACCGGGATTCTTTCATATTTTTCGTTTCGCCACAAAAGTATCATTTTCGAGGATCTTTCATTTTGAATTATATTAGTCTACCATAAAGAAAGGAATAGAGCGAAAAGAAAAAGCGAAGAGCTTACCCATCAACGGTTAACGATGGCTGCGACGCATGAAAACTGTCTCCAACACGAGTATTTAGCTCGTAGTACGAGATACTACACCAGAACTGCGGTTCGGTGTAAGTGACAGGATGAAGTTCGCCTACGTCGGTGGCAACTTCAGGGACGCTGTTAAGATTTGCTGGGGGTGGTGAAGGCGTCGCCAGCTGTGGGGTTCCCTGTAAAACGTAAGTTGCACAATAAAATCGATAGAGTAAACATCAAACCAACTTGCATAATACAAATTTCGTAACTTGTTAGTTCGAGTAATGGCCAAACCGGTTCGTTTTCAAGTCTCGTTCTCTACTATTTTGTACTGTCAACGGAAATGATGGTTCCATCATTTTTCAGCATTATCTACCTTGTTCTAAAACTATGTGAGAATACTGCTGACAAAAAATATTTATCCATCAAACAGTCCGAATCAAATATTCGAAGGTAGATCGATCCTAAAAATTAATTTTTCAAGTTCCTCCTCAAAACTCGCTTTGGTACAAACGCTCCTTTTCAATTAACCATCAACATACACAGCACAATAAATGAAGTGGTAATTAGAATTATCGAGCAAGATGTTCTTTGTAGTATATTGAATTTCTCTCTAAGGCTACACGAGTCTAGCTTGACTCGTATACAAGAGAAAAACGCCTTTTCGGTTCAAAAAAAAAGAAGAAAGAATATGCTTGTGCTGTATTGATAAACAATACCGTATAATCTTATAAGTCATACCATTGCGTCCATGTTATCCATGCCGTGCGGCGACTGCTGATCCATAAGCGAAGACTGTTGGGTGACGTGCGTATGCTGTCCCCCCTGCTGAAGGTTGTTGTTGTTGTTATTGTTATTGCTGTGAATAGCCATATTTGAGCCGCTGCCGGCTCGGAACTCGGGACTTGTCGGTGGGGAGCCCGGAGACGACAGATCCTGGTTTTGCAAAGGAAACATCATAGTGACTTTGTGAGGTCAACCTACACTTTCCTTCCATAATAAATAACACGAGAAACTTGAAATATTAAATTGAGACAACTGGTTCCTGCTCTCAAAACTTACGCAGCGATAAACAAATTAAAGGCATTTCCTCAAAAATTGCGCCCCAGTTCTTTCGTTTCTTAAAGAGCCAACATTTTTTAGAACTTCATATTGGACCGAAAAAAAACTATTGCAAAACCTATCAGTTTATTAGATACATATTTAAATGTTATAATAAAAGCCGTTCCAATAGTACGACTATACCTACTTCGCTCATATAGCCGGGTGGCGGAGTGTCAGGTGGAAATTCTGCATTCTCAGGCACCGAGTTGTCGAATTCGGGCAGTTCATAAAGACCTGGTGGAACATCGCTCGCTACGTATGACCAGAGCAACCCGAAAATAGCAATTAAAAATTATATTCGAAACCAAACGCTTTCTTAGGATGGTGTTTGAATGAAAAAATAAAGCATACGAAACGCGTAACAAAGTAAGACAGCCTTGTTAGGGAACAATAGCCGCGTTGTAAAATAAAACCCAAAAATTTTCAACATTTTTTTGTTATTACTGGAAAGACAAACAATGTAAGAATGTGCTAATTTCTTACGATTATATCTTGGTACAAGTACAGTAGGCAGTGGTGGCGCTTGAACCCGATCGTAGTGCCAAGGATTCACGCATACCACATCCTCTGGACCCCTATGAACCGTGCGAGCACTGTGACACTGGGGCATTGGACGTAGTTCATTTGCATTTTGTAAGTCTTGCCATCGCCACAAACGACAATAGACCACGTGTGGGACACCCTTGCGATGAGAAGTTGACTGTGCGCGCGTTCCATCCATAGAACTGCGATGATAGACAAAACGCATAATATATATATTCATGTTGACTTGTTCTGTAACTTACTAGGTAGGCTACTTTTATTAATGAATTCATACCTCGAACTGTAAAGCGAACTACTCATTTGTCGATGACCACTTGTGTAATAAAAGTTGGATATCAACATTCTTGTTATAGTAACAAAATGCAGCAAACGTCAAATGAATAAACTGAAGAAAGTACGCCAGTAAATTATAGATAATTTACTTCTCACTTCATCATCACACGGGACTCTAGTAAAAGTCTAGTTGAAAACACTGTCCTTAGGAAAGAGTGTTAGTGAGACATATGAGTGCAAAGAAGAACGACAAGATTGAAAAGACTTCATTACTCTTCCGTCTTTGGAGGCAAACAGCTCTCACTAAATGCTCTACAGGCCAGACAAAACTGGCTTCAAATATAGAGTTTATATGAGCAGGACTAAGACCTAACTGGGCCTGGACCTCCTTCCCAGTCTCATATCTACTCCCGGTGGTAATCTCTTCAATTTAATCGGTTTATTTTTATCTCGCTGTATGACTCCTTAATATGTAACGCAGCAACAATCGTTCTGTCCGCCGACGCAGTGTTGAAAACAAATGAAAAATATCGATTCACATTTGTGATTGACTCAGTGTTTACACTCGAGCTGGCGCCTTGAGTTCAATGCATCAAACGCAACTTCACGCATAACATCCAAGGCAGAGAACGTTGAGAACGATGGAGTCAATCTGATTAATTATTAATCTCTTTGTTGGTACAGAAGTATACACACTAAATACTATCTGCATTATTTGTTCAACAGACCATACATTTATTACACTTGCATAGAATTTCATTGCTATCATTAAAAATTTATAATTAAAAAAAATTAAAGTTTCATACTGTCTTCAATCCACAGTTATTATTATTGAATGAAAATTAGAAAAGACTCAGTAGGCTAAATCCTTACATTTAGCTGATTTGGTTACTTACAAGTATGTAATCATATTCAGTAAAAGTTGCCTGAACATAATAAATATGTATATATATATATATAAAGATTTTTAAGACATTCAATTTACGTGAAGTGGTTATTCGTGTGATCTTTTACGCTTCTGCAAGTTTTTTTTTGCAAGATTTTCGTATTCGACTCTAATTCTACAAGGCATGATGATGCTTAGATAAACAATAAGTAATTCGTTTGTTCAATTAGTACTCAATGATGAAACAGTTAGTAATCATCATCTTCGTTATTGGTTAGCGACGTCGTGTATATAAAAATTTTAGTAAGACATTAAGTAAGTTTATTTCTAACTGATGGTAGTTAATGTCTTTTACGAAAGTTGTTAATTAGCGTTAATAATAGTAAAAGCATTTCAATAAATTATATGATGTGGGTGGTGCGCCAAAGTACTTCATTGGAGTTGCCTTAGATATAACAAACCATGTAAGGACAAAGGTTATTCGAACAGAATTACTGACATCATTTAATTTAAATAAATAAATTTAAAAAATAACTGTAAACAATACGACAGGAGCTTCTGACACTGGTTTCACTCAAGCTGCGGCAAACCAGTCTACTTCGTCGGTGCAATTGTTTATATTAAGAATATGGTTCAAACGTCTAGGGATGCTCTTGAATGTACCAGCCGGTTCGATAGAAGAAACATTGGGTGTGATGACGGCGCAGATTTACTTCCTAAATTTTAGCTTTTCGATTATTAACGTCTAGGTGCATCGTAATACCGTGGGATGGTGACGCACGATGTATTGGGATCTTGTTTAACGATAGCTTTTTCAAGATCTTCGAGTGCTGTGCCCTGTTTCGCTATCTTCTTGACCAATGCGCGCACAGCTTTCTCTCCCCAGCGCTCATCAGATTCACCACCCTGCCGATATTGCAGCAGTTTTTTTACCTGTATTGATGAAAATGACAAATAGCAAACAAAGCAGATATTCATGTGCTTCATATATCCATAGAATCAAGGGTCTCTTAAAAGAGTTTACATTATGTAAGTAATTTATCGATTGCACTAATCAATGCCATCTAAGAAGCAATGACAAGAATGATTCGGAAACCGTTACAGGCCATAGACTCTTCAAGTCATACCAAGACAAAATTGACCTGATATTCTTCCATTCTGATCTTTGCAACAACTGTCATCGAACAGCTTACTATTTCGGTATACACATATCGGACTTGACTTAAAATGCAATACTGTCTTGATTTACTTTTTTGGTTGCTTGACGAAGAGGTCCTTCTTTGCAAGAAAATAAAACAACAATGAGCACAGTTGCGCGAAGCCCTTTATGAAAAGCAAATGTCTAATGAAAGTGACAAACAAACATGGATGCGGAATCTAGAGCAATGAATCGCTGGGAAGAGATCATTCAAAGAGTTAAAACAGCGGAACTGTTAATTGGGTTTGTTGATCTCCTTATACAAAAAAAAGTACAGCACACAAAACATTGATATTAAATTTGATTACTTACTTCCAGCTGAATTTATAATTGATAATTATTTTATCAATTAACTAAAAAGTAGAGAATAAAGCAAAAGACTTTGTCGATTACTTACGGATTTTCCAACCCGAAACAAACATATATTGCCTATGCCAAGTCCCCCGCCCATTGTCTCACACGTTATAACACTTAACACAATATAAAATAGTATTTATATCTAAACGATGAGTGTGATATATCTATTATTGAACCAATCAACCAACACAAAGAACCTAGCCATGAATTTCAATGAAAAAATGCTGGAAGTCAACATAATATTTTAGAAAGGCTATTATATGTTTCGATTGAAATTATTTTTTAGCATAAATTATTATCTTTTGTCATTTCAGTAGGCACATTCGGCCTCTCAACTGGCGTAGCCCATAATATCTCTATGTACACACGCCATAAGCGGCATTCGAACGTTAACAAATGCATTGCGAGACGTTGTTTAATTAGACTTCCTTTAGAAAAATCCGCTATTGAAATATTTGTTGCTCAAAGGTTGTGAGAGTTTAAAATAGTCAAACGATAAAATATATATTTTATGTCCCGCTGCTCGCTTATACTTCTCATTCATTACCTTCTAAAATACAATAAAAAAAACTCTGGTTTCGGCACTGGAGAGGAATTTTGTCGTAGTAGCGACTTCTCCTTCCTTGCTATAGTAGTCAGTTTTATTCTGAGGGCTGCCAATCTTCGACGTTTTGAATGGTAACAAACCTTTAAGAGTGAAACTGATAACCAATGTCATAAACCTCATTGGTCACAAAAGTGCGACTCACCATGGGGTGCTGAAATGCGTTTGCCAGTATTGAAGCCATCTTGGTCTACTCGGGTGAATTGTCAGACTTTACCGTGTAAACACTCCACTTCCTGGTTTTCACTCTGCTCACCTGAAACTAAAAGAGCACGAATACATTATTCCAACATTAATTATTGCCAATACACAAATTATTCAAGGTTTGGTACCTTTGTACAATCTGTAAGGTATAATCTGTAACATTAAAATTAAGCAGTCGATTGTATATCAAATTATTAAAGCTTAGGGTCGTCCAGGCTTGTTGTTAACTAGAGCTCACCTATAGAATATATACTATATTACATCGGTACCCACGGCGATATTTTAACGACCGGTAGCCTACGCTACGTACAATAAAAAAAACGGTAACACATATTTATGTACGCATGCCAATAGATCGGTGTCAGTAGCTTTTATCTTCAAAGTCGCCCAAAAGTTTCCTTTAGTGTCTGCGTCTTTCTTCCTAACTGTGGTGTCATAATGAAACTTTCATGATGAGTTACTTTCAGCGTCAATCGATTAATTGTCTAACCGTAGATTGTCCTGTTCTGTATCATTGTCTCTCATGTCTTGTATATATGTACATATACGTAGGTATTTCTCTATTTGCCATTGTGTTCAACAAGAACAATCTTCGTTCTGTAATAATACTAATAATCTATCTTTGTTGTTATTATTAATAAGCGTCTATTATGTGCCTACTAACATACTCTGGACGATAGCTTTTTTGGGAGCTGATCGAAAATGAACTAGACACTAAACTTTTTAATGCCGAATTCGCTCACGATGTGTTACAACACCAGGGGCATTGCGCCTGCATCAGTTATCCAGTGATGTTAATATGAGCAATGACGCGCTTTGTTTTGCACCAGTGTTTCTAGTTGCTGCGCTCCCAGCCACGACACGTTGTGGTCGGCCGGTGCACTAGCACGTACTTGTCTTCAGGCAGCAGCAGTATCGTAGGCAACAGTAACTCAAGCGACAGTGGTCACAGCAGTAGAACTTCCAATCTGCTGTCGTTGTTACCGCCGCCTACTTATGGTCGTCGTGGTCGTGAATGATGTCTCTGCTTGTCTGTATCCTGTCCATTTCCTCTCCCCAACCGCTGCCTGCCCTCCAGGGCAAACGTGTTGTATTCTATGGGGAGAATACGGCAGTGGCGGTCACGGTTGCGCCCTCGATTCCCTCTGCTTATATCAGTACCAACAGGGACCGGAACTAATGGCCAATATTTTGATGATGTTCACGGCGGCCATAGCGGCAATGCCTGTCGCCGACGTCACTTTGCCGTCCGTCAATGTCTTTTCGTCGCTCTAGCTGCTGACTATTGGCCAGTATGTCGTTATAATTAGCTCTCTCTAATATGGGCGCCGATGTTGTTGTTGATGAGGTTACATTGCGGTTGTTATTTGATAAAAAACCCCTCTTCTTTCGCGGGGAGCGATGTTATTATTAATCAAGTCCACCACGTAACTGGCTGGCCGCGATTCTGTCCTTTAAATCGGTACACTTCTATTTACCTGTATAAGAACTTTAGAGTACCTAGCTCCTCCACGATATGGCTGGGATTCTCTTGCTCCCGCCGATGACTGGATCCTTCTCTCCAGCAAGCGACACCGGTCGCAGTGGGATATACGCGCCGTCGTAGACTCTTACCTTTCTTCTACCGCTGTTGTTAGCGCCGTCTTCGCCGGTAAACGTCAGCACAGTCACTGCTGACTCGATCGCTCGGTCAGTACCAGACGGAGCGACTAAGGCCCTCAGCGTTCGCGTGACGACCGTGGATAACAGGGTAACCAGGCAGACTTGTAACAGTACTAATCGAGGTGGCTCTCACAGTTGTCGTTGTTATTGCCGTTGTGAAATGATGTGATGACCACGCGCACACGCAGGAGTCCATAGCCGCGCGGTAAATACCAGATGGCACGGGACAAAAACACTGAGCAATATTACAGGCAAGGAGTTTCGACGTACACTCGCGTCTCTTATTATGAACCGAGATCACCAACGGTACTCAAACAAACGAGTTCTCGGCTCGGGAAAACACCCGAACCTACTTTCCCGTATGAAAAGTGTATCTCAGCGGGGGTACCAGCAGTAACAATAATAATAATGGTCGTCTGTAAATGACGAGAGCTCACGGCGAACCCAATAGACGATGCTACACAACTCTGCAGATAGCCTGTAGCTTTCCAGTGACCATTGCACCGACTAACAATATAACCAGGAAGATAACAAAAATACTCACTACAAAGAGACGGGTCCAACCCTTTGCGAAATCAACACGATCGGCATTCCCGATCGGAGCACACGATACTTTCACAACAATTACTCCCGAAACAACAACAAAAACATACATATGTATACGTCTTATGGCATCGCTGCTCTGTTGTAACAACAGCAGGAGCAATAACGCAGTGAGAATAATAACAACAACAGCACAGTATCACTAGTGCCGTCAGCTATAAACAGTGCTCACTGCGGCAAAGATGCCGGGCCGGGCCGCACCGAGCTAAACTGGCAGACAGCGATGGACTCCGACCCAGACGGCGACATTCTCACTCAGGCCGGGTGCTTACCCTCACTCTTTAGTCGCTCAGATAGGTTTGCCAAAATTTGTTGTTGTGTCTTATGCCGAAACATCCGGCTGCCAGTAGTAGATGTTTTGAAGAAGGTCATAGCGATGATCTTTGCATCACTTTTCGTCTGCTACGAGTGCGAGCTCCGCTCGCTCAACGAATGTAGTGTTGGCTGTTTAAGCAAATGCGATGGACTTGCGCATCCATAACAAGCAGTTGATGATCGTGACGTGTGTTGTCAATTCACTTTATGGCATTACGGCCAGCGGAAAGACCTGGCAAGAAGTGGCGGGAACTAGTGGTCATAAACGTAGAACAAGGGGGCGAGAAGATACACCATCAGAGCAGTAACTAGGTGGAAAATCGATATTCATTCAACGTAGATTCTCGATACCAACATAATGATAATGTTTAAGTACGTGAACTTGAAAAAAATGTTTGCAAGCAAAATAATACTCGTAGTAGTAGTAGTATAGTAATAGATTCGTGTTTAACGCATTATATATACTCTATATATATATATAATATATATATAAAAAAATATATATATTATATATATATATATATATATTTCAAGTATATAATAATATAAGAAGAATAAATATATACATATAATAGATGCATTGTATACCATAAAATTAAAACGTTGTTGCGGTAGACCTTAATTTCCATAGCCAAACTCAAATTTACCCCTTTTTGCTAGCTACAGCAGATAAGGCACTACATTCTATCCCGTTATTGTATTTTAACGAATACTCTGTGGCCCAGAAGAACACATTTTAAATATATTATGAATGAAGGATCTAATGATATTTATGGTGCTCAGTCGTAACTCCAGAACTCTCTATTTGATTAACTCAAATCATTCGAAAAATAATGCTAAATCTCAGCCGAGTATCTTCGACTAAATTTCATAATTACAAGTAAAGCTTCTAAAATAATAAATGAAACTGTGGTGGATAAAAATATCATCTACTCTAACTATAATTCGAGCTTACTTTTAAAGGCAGTTATCTTTTGTGTAGTGTCTCTTGATTTTTCTTAAGTAGACATTGTGGTCTATATTCGAACCCGAGCATAGACATACGGGTCATTTCATGCTGGGAGTCAGCCCTTTGTCTGATGGAATGCCTGACGGCGGTACCGGACGTAAAAACTCGAGGAGGGTTTCCTTGATTTGCTGGTAATAATATCTCATATACATTGATCTACTAAACCATCTAGCCAAACCAAAAGGGAGTATTAGAAATAGAGGTGTTCTAACTGGGCCTTTATACAAAACTGTTAAACCATAGTTAGCCACTGTCAAACCAAGTAAGTTAGGAGATGTTTGTCGGACAGTGCCAACTGCAGCCTTCTCTTCTCCTCTAACGAGTGCTGTAGGCGATCGCGCAACTTCATTTCTGTCTCGTTTAGCGCCGCCTTCTCTAAAATTCTATTCACTCTTGTGGCTGTTTTGCCGAATTTGCACCTGGCAACGAATATAAGAGATCGCTTCTCACTCTATTGCTCGCACATACGACTTGTTCATTGCTAGGTAATGATAATGCAATGCGCCCAAGAAATGATGTCCACAGAAATCAAGTGAGGTGAACAAATAGGTATTAATAATTAATGTAAATATCGTAAAAAAATTTTAATATTTTTATATATCCTATATGATTTCCAACTTTGACAAGGTATTAGCTGTGGAAACGTTTTTATAAAATTTGAATAATTATATTCACTAATACATCTTCTTTAAGTTGGATCGGAATCAAATTTATCGGCGACGTATTAGCCCTGAGCCTGGCGGTCCTCTGTGTTGCTCATTATGTAGTTTGAAGAACGCAGTGGACACAATGTGTATTTTAGATGGTCATTTCTGAAAAGCTGAGCGAGACATGTCGACAAACGAAGCTCAATCGGATCAGGATCAAAGTGCTAAAAAAGAGGATGAAAAAAAAAGCCTGACAGCGGCTGAAGATGTAAAGGATCCTTCGACAGTGACAAAAGAAACTGCGAAGGAATCTGAAACGACTAGTTCAGGTATAAAAGCTGCTACAGCCTTGCATTTGATAGGCTAGAGTCCAGTTATTTAAATTAGTTAGTTAAATTTTGTGAACTTTGTTACAAAGATTTATTCTTAACCGTTCTATTATTGTGTGTTTTTCGTTATGACATTGTACTACTACTGACTAGGTTCAATTACGTTTTTGTACGTAGCATTCAGACGAAATCAATAATAGTACTAACACGAACCCAATAAGGCATTTCTTGAAATGAGATGCACGAGATGTAAGTGTGTATCTATACTTTATTTGCTTGCTTGCAAACTTCGGTCGTCAGCGATGTTTTGAGGTTTCAAAAGTTTTGAACTTACATTGTGCTAATAGAGGCTACATGCAAATACATAATCATGATATAATGATAATGTATACGTATGTAATATGTGGACAACAAAGGTTGACAACAAATTATTCAGCCAATGATACTTAACACATCTATGCAATGCATTGCATGACCGCTAGCAAAATGAATAATAGGCATGCTTCAACGAATACATCATTTACAGTAGGCCCCGTGATAGCCGAGTGGGCAACGTACTTGCATGCTAGTCATATGCTGATAACACGTCACGGTTTAGGTTCGAATCCGGGCATAGACACGGTTACTCTCGTGGTGGAGCAATAACATACATGAAACTCCAAACAGAAGCTTGCAGTAGTAGACATATAAACATGGTTCCTAAGAAATTTGAAAGCGCTAGTTTTTATCTATGCGCTTTGAATCACTACAGCATAATTGCTGCCTATTTCATCACAGCTCATCGACGCTCGATGCCTATTGCAAAATGGGCAACAGGTCCAAGGTTGTATCCAATCATGTAAGAGCAGATCGAACGTATTTGTACGATTTTAAAATGCAGTTTTTATTCCGAAGAGTAATAGTAGACCGTATTAGGTGTTATACTTTTCACTTCCTTGATTCCGAAACGAATTCCGTGTATTCGTTAATTGTCTTAACTATAAGCGATCTTGAATAGTGTCGTTCCGGCAGGTACGATAAGAACGGAGGTACGGTGTATAAGTTCTTGCCAAAGTTAGCAACCTTGTTGGAAGTTTATTATATTGTACAAACATATATGGATCTTTTGTTGTTGTTGTAGGGGACATTCGTAGATTTCAAAGTTTCCGGGACAGATTGCGGTGGTGGTGAAGTTCTGACAGTAACATATATTGAAATTAATGCAACTCTTCAGTTTGGAAATGAAAGCAAAAGATACAACGATGTTGTGAGAATATGCTTTAAGTCTGCATTATTCGTGATTTAGTTGAGCGACCAGAACATTCACATATGACTGCGGCAGTCCAGAAAGCGTTCAAGAGATGATGTGAACCTTCGGACAGAGGTTGATGAGCTAAACTTATTATTCTTTGCAATTTTTTGGGACATTTAGGTATAAAATCGAGGGCTGGCTCGTACTAGAAGCCAAACTGGGTGGGTATCTTCAGCGGACCTACGCAGTGGCATGGCAACCATACAAGACCCTAGAAATTATCAGTATATATTATAATATAATTAATCCTAATACCTAATCATTTCTAATTTTCCACAAATTCTTGCTGATAATTCTTGCCGACGCTGGGGCTTACTAGCATAACAGATGCGCATTAGCTACCCAGATCACGCCGGCCCAAAAGGTGTTCAGCCCATCACTACTTCTATTGGGCTCCGTCAACGAAGCTTAGTATAGTTCCTATGTAAGCCACTCCTAATGATGTCACTATTATTTTTTGTTGCAGACAGGACATTCTGATCTAATGGTAATTGACAGTTCGTTTTCTCCAAATAATTGACGTTTCTTCATACTTGTGTACAGTAATCTTTGTTTGTCTGTCTTATCTGGCCTTTTTTTTTTGAAAATCCCTCGCATGTTATTGTCATTATAGTACTTTTCATGTTTTTCATCCGGTGCTCAAGCCGGTAAACATTGCTTGGGACGATTGGCTCCGAACATGCAACAGTGTCTAGGCAGGGATTCAGATCTAGACCACTACGTGCCCGTTGTCCGCAAGTTTAGCACACAATCAAGTTACTCACTGTGCTATCACGTGGACTCATTGTAGTACACACTGATCATTAGCGTTTGTACGAATATGTAGTGTTTATGCTATGACTAAACGGAACAAGTTCACGGACGAACAGAACTTGCGAATATATTTTTTGCTTGTTTTTCGATGCTTCTATAATCGTCAGAATCCTATGGTCTTTTCAACAGAGGCTTATTGGGCGCGAGCAAAATGGGCAAAGGTACCGCAACCTATAGAAAATCACGCAAAACAGTGTTCCCGACGAGTAAAGGAAATACGGGACTTTTCGAATAGTCTGCCTGCCATGGCGGGGGTAGTATGGATCGAAGTTAAGGTGTGCCGTCACAATTCTGTAAATCTATCATTTTTTTAATGGTGAAAAATAATTGTATTATTTTGAATCGCAGGTGTCCTAATACAAAGCACTATCTCAGAAGGGTTATATTATTCTACTTCCCCGAATTATTTATACATTGCGAATACATTTGGCGTCTGTGTTTGAACATAAACATGTTCGAAGGCTGTCTTTTTTATTTCAGGGTGAAATCGACTGCTTGGAGAAGCGTCTATATCAGCTCGGCACGACCCTGAAGTCACTGCAAAGCGCAATCGGCGATCTCAGGCTGAAGATGGCAGACGAACGAGCACTTTTTGAAACACTTTCAGGCTTCGAATCTCTTCCGCCTCGGGGAAAGGAGATTGTTGCTAGTTCCTACTTCAACCTTGTGGTGATGACATGTTCCTTTTTGATATAAGAGGAGGGCAGGATCCAAGAGATACATAAATGGGGTTGGCAGTGAAGATGTAGATTGATAATTGAAGTAGAGGCAATATATCTACAGCTTTTAATTGGAATAAATGTGGGGAGAGAACTACTTCGAAAATTATTCGTGGTCGAAAAAATACGCAGATTGCGAATTCTACTGTTGTAAAATCACGACATAGCAGAAGCGACTTAATACGATCTCGTTAGTGTTCAGTGTGTGTGTTACAACTGTCGTATTTCATGTGGCGAACGTTTGTGACATAATCGCTCCAAGTAAGCATTGAGGGCTCTATATAATTAGGGCCCATTGGCCGATGCTTTGTGTGAGAGGACATAGTCTATAGTGTAGAAAACTATTATATGTTCTGGCAGTTTGCAGAGAGATTTAACGTATGACGTAAATACTAGAATCACGCAGACACCTTTTAATACACCTGAATTCCGTTTTTGCGACAAATGTCACCACCAGTTTTCCCAGAAATGCGCCGATAGAGCTAAGAAATCAACTACCGAAACACGTAGGCGTGTTCTATCTGGGCCAGCTTATTTAAAGCTGAAATCAACAAACGGCTGGTTTAGGGCTGTTTTTATGACACCACACTCGCTTGCCCGTTTGCTATTCATAGGTTAACTTTCATGTCAATTAAATTTGCGTACTGCACTTGAACACGAGTTTAGAAACACAAATGGTGCGGAGCAGGCTATGAATTCCCAAGTGCGACATACGAAAGCCTCGAAGCGGGATCGTTCTGTGCGTCGTGTCATAAGTAGCTACAAAGACTAATGAGAAACCACTCGTGCTGGAAGATCGCCAAATGACCCTCAGGGCGCTTGTGGAAGGTCTAGAAATCTTTTAGGAATTAAAAAAAACTCATGGGTTCTCTAATACAATAATGGATTCGTTCCCACATAGTTACTAATGTCGCATTTTGCTGCTGGATGCTTGTTATCTCTCTCGCTCCCCTTATTCTGAAACAGAAGGGTTGAGAAAATACGAGTAAATAAGAAAAAAGCAAAATAACAAAGCCTGTGAGTATGAACACTGTTTTAAAGATTCATTAATATCTGCGTAGAATATGATACGGATTACACCTACGGATACAGCATGGATGATCGGTTTATCTGCATTACGAAGATTTCTTGATGTTTAACCTCTAGTTGCTGAGACCCAATCAAAGGAGCAGATTATGATATTGACAACGTGTCATTGGTGTCTGCCGTATACAGATTCGGGTATTTCATCTATTCAAAGGGTTTCTAGGTTGGCTTAAGGGCATGAGTGCGATGGACACTGGACTGTGTCAAAACAGACGAAAGCTTTTGGAAAATAACAGGGAAACTGTTAACGAACTTTTCCGGTTGCTTTTTAAGGCACAGCCAATTTAAGACCAATGGCAAGTGAATGCTTGCGTTCTGGAATGATGTATCTTGGCGAAATCTATAGCACGACGTTGTTATGTCAGCACTACATCAAATTTGAAATATTTAATGAATGTTGAGCAGATATAGCAGTTTGTATGTGTGGCCACTCGTGGTGGTGATAACCATGCGTAAGTGAAGCCTACTTTGTAGTTGATAAGGATACGCAGTGTTGGTTCACAACGTGTTCAGAATATGGCTACCCAAAAAGGCCAAGATTGTAGTATTTTATAGTAGTATACAATCACAAGAACCATGTTACAACAAGGGCAAATACCCCTTTGCCTCTAACATCACCTGTACTAAGTCTGGACCAAAACTGACTTAAAGTAGCGAACGGATCAGTGGTGTCAAAATTGGTGGCCTTCTCAACATTTACTAAATCGCAACATAATAGGCGATAAATTAAACTTCGGAAACGAAATTACATAAATTGACCGTTATATTTTACGTGATAGTGTTAGGAGTACCGCCTGTCGTAATAGTTGCACAACGAATAAACGTTGCAGAAGCGTTAGGCTCATCTTAGCGTTTGTGTGGCGATCAGTGAATAAGCCAAACCTAGTTTTTCTTCGTTATCACCTGATTTCGGTCTTAGACTAGTGAATTGGATCGTCGCGAAAACTTTTTGCTTACTCTTATAATATTGATAACTGTTCACTGTTAGCCTCCTTGGCTCAATACTGGGAATAATACCCAATTCCGTGGGATGTAACTTTCATAGAAAATCTGACGTGTCAATCGAATAAGATTTTGTCGGTCTGTAAGTTACGGGGCAAGTTCCCAGTGCGAGAATGTTTTATATTCATTACAATTACCGAAATCGGAGAAATATATTGAGGTGCATCAAAGGTACAGGATTTAGCGTAACTCGATTTTATCGAGTCACTATCGTTACTTCAGAGACCATTTTAGAAACTTCCTAGAAACGAAAATCCGCCAATTCTTTCGCCCACCAATGCTCTAACCAGAAAGATCGCTTTGCGTATTGCTCACAATTATAATTTATGTTAACAGGCAACAGACCTGAGGAGAAGGATGCAAAACCTTGCAGCTCGAGTCAAGCAGATATTAAGCATGCGAGCACCTGAGGGGAAAACAGATCCGACGTCGCAAGCTATGTTGCTTCGTAGGGTTATAGTCAAGAATCAGGAGATTTTATCTGCTACGGCCGCCAGAATGTATAACATTCATGAACAGGTTTGTTTCATGAGTAAACTATGAAGATTATGAAGACTTGATTTTTTTTTTCAATATTTTTGGTGCTCTGGTACCTGTGAGGCTTATCTAGTTAGGCATTAAAATAATCGTAGTAAGCAAAAACAAAAGTACTTCGAGAGTGAATAAAGGAATGTAGCATGTCCATTTTGCATCTTGTTCTTCAGTTTGTATAAACATCATCCAAACCTGTCAACAGCCTAAAAAAGTGGAATTTAGAATTTTATGTATTTCCGCTTTTTTTTTACATGCAGTGCATCGACACCCGTAAATACATGTGAAAGAAGGAACGTCAATGTAATTGCAGAAGAATTTATAGATAAAAATGTGAATATCCTACATAGAGTCGGTGCTCAATCAAGTAGACTAATAAACTAATTCGGTTAGCTTAAACGGCCGATTGCGCAGAATTTAAACGAGATGTTTACGAGCCTACGACTGCCGCATTATTATACTTCTACACTGGTAGCCTATAGATCTATAATAGGTCGACATTGATAGCAAGCCTGCTTTTGTCGTTGCGTAAACTCAGTGATAGGAATCGAACGAACTGGACACGAAGTGGAAGGGCCGTTTTTTTATTATTTGTCAAGTCCAAAACATTAGTTCGTCTCGCATAACGTAATCACTCCAGAGCAGACTGAAAGAGCGTGGATTTATTATTATGATGTGGAAAATTACGGTTCTCCACTGACTGAAAAACGCTACCTTTATGGTATTAAATTTGTTAAAAAACCATGAGTTAGGTGCTGCAATGAAACGAGCAAGCGCGTTTTCATTGGGCAAATAAAAAAAATATAGGTCGTTAAGAACTGGGAAAAGTGTCAGACGAATTCCATTTTTAAATTCTCATCAGCTCTCTGTATTGGCGAACGATTTTTTGACAACTAACCCATTTATACTACCAATCAAATATCTATCAAAAGTTATATAATTCATGATTTCTGATCAAGGCGTTGGGATGATACATTTTGCACATAAGATGCTAGACCAGCAGGAGGTTATCGAGAGCAATATTCTGTCTCAAACCAAAAAATGATTCTCTGATGGTGACTATGTTCTCATGCACGATGGGACGCGTGTCACATATTTTCTAGAGTACTACTAGACTACTCGCTACCAATAACATTGGGCTGCTGCTCACAGAGAAAGCAAGATCATCAAATCATACAAAAGATCGGGAAAAGCAAGACATAACAAACATCCATATTTTCCGGATGAAATCGTGTGTGGTAACGGGTAACATTCACTGCATTAGCGGCATGTCCTAAAGTGTAGCGACAGGATATCGTTACAAGAGGTAGTACTATAACGTACTGATAGTCGCAACATGTGTTTGATCTTGTACTGTACCTTTGTAAATAAAAGAACACCGCTTTCATAGATCAATGACCGCTTAAAAATATTTCGCTTTAAAGCTGCGCGTAATTTCAAGTTGAAACAATTTGATCGACTCTAGATCTTTTTCTGTGAATTAGTTGTATTATATATATTGATATATTACCAGTTGCTCTTTCAAGGGAACGGAAAGCCCTGCAGTCACACAGATTCAGATCGGAAAAAAATAAGCGGGTTGAAGTCAGCCTTGAATAGTTTTGTTCAATCCAGGGAGTAACTGGGGCGTGGCAACGGTCTTGCGTTGTCATCAAATAAACAGACTGCGTGCGAACGGTCCATGAGTCTTTTGAGACAACAGCCGAGCATCTAATAGCAGTAGAGATGGCTGTTGCAAGTACTACCGTTTCTTTACGTCTGAACCTACTCAACAATGCCACCAATGTCGCAACAATGCTCAACAATGTCGCAAGGTTGTTTCCTTGCCTAATGTCGTCGCCAGCATTCCGTATATCTCCGCACGGCTGCAGCCTTCGAGAAGCAAAAATGTAACCAATGAACGTTGATCTTCGAAATTAAAATAAGGATCCTTTTCTTATTTTTCCCTTTTTACTTATTTCTCCCGAAGTAAACTCACCGGTTTTCACGCAGAACGAGTATTTACGATCCAAATCATTTGTTAGTGTCGCGTAGTTAAAGATCTTTAACTACTGCTGTAACTAACTCCGCTACTGATATATAGGGTTGAAAATACTAATAACAAAATATATCTTGTTATCGAGCAAACGCTTTGGGACAATAGTCTGCTCTTAGTGAAACTTAGCCTGAATAGCGCTGCCCGTTCTGACTGGATTGATACGGATCGATATTTTCCTGTATTGAAACGGCTCGGTTCCTATGTAGCAGTTTCGCAGGCCGCTTTTTGACTGTAGATTTTAATTTTAATTTACGATTATTATGCGGAGTTTTTCTTTCCAAGTATCAAATTTTTGCATCACGTTTTCGAGTGGCTTGAACCTAAACCTTAGAAAACTTATAATGAAGAAGCCATTTGATCGGCCGAAGCTTGAAAGGTAAATGAGCAGCAGGTGTCGCTGTCTGTCTCGGCGCTGTTGTGAATGGCATAGCAGTGCCCAAAACATCTACTTTGTGGTGGCTTATATTTTGTGAAGAATGCACATGTGGTAACACCACGTAGGGGTTTAGAAGTTTAGAACAGATGGTTTAAGCTCTGTTGTACCGGGTAAATCAATATAGTCGATAAGCTGAGCAGCTTACCAACAACGTATCAGCACAAACCGCTACCATAGGAATGTCGCTTGTGAAAGCAGCACGTGTAAAGAAAACAATGTCTGGGCGCTCAGATGATGAGTAAGCGTCAAAAGAATATCGCTGATGCTCAAGTCTTATGAGAAAACATTAACGTTGCTTGCAAGGTGTACTAATCCTGCCTTATCCGTGAGGTAACCAGCACTTAGATTGCGAACTACGGTATCCACAGTGATCAAAAGGAGTCCATAGGTGTGATCTTCGAAGGGTTTTTGGTGACAAAATATTGCTTCCCCAAAATATCATGCTACTGTACTTTTACCCGTATCTAAAAATACTACTCGAGGTCTCCTAGAAGAGCCAACATACAAGGAGGTTGACGGGCTGTGGGAACTTTGATGATCATTGAAATATTGCTTTCTGCCCTGATACGCTGGCAGCAGTTCACTGTGAAATGAAGTGTCATTTCAGAGAATTTACTGAAGAGCATATGGCTCTCTAAGATAGTGATTTTCAACGATTCGGATCTTCAACTATTTAGGAACTAATCAGGTAACTAGCCCTGTTTGTAGTCCAACTGTCTCTAGTTATAGTACGATTTTTGTGTTGTAACAGAGCGGCCGCTGATTTTTTTTTAGTTTTAGAGTTTTAGAGCGTAGACATTATTACAATGCGTGATTCCCGTCGAGAATTAAGTGTTCAGTTATCTTGCTTCTATTTGTAAAACAAATTGTTTTTCTTATACATGTTTATACGTGTTAATATGTATAAACCATAGAGGTCTATACTAGGCCGTACCACAAGGCGTTGCTGTGAATAACAGCCACACACAATGAGGAGTCAGGGAGTTACTATCTGCTCGGTTATACTGCGCTCTCAGATCGAGTGCCCTAAAATGCCACGGAATGATTTAGCGCCTCGTTTTGACAGTACTTTATTGTAATATGTTCGATTCAGTGTCAAAAACAATGGCACCCAAAGATTGTACAGGTTAAGCTCTACCTCAACTAGAGTCAATTACCCCCCCCCCCCCCACTTTTTCTAGACCTTCTAATACCTCCTAGCCCCTAATTTTCACAGGCAGCCGTAAAAATTAGGAAGTTACGAGGCTGAGAGCGCTGAGACCAAACACTATTGTCACCTGGGAGGCCTTAAACGGTATATACAATCGATTGCGATCTTTTTTCATAGCCTTCTCGGTGTGGCATCTCAAACAGTTAGGAAAAGCCAGTCTATCGAGAGCACGGAGATAGTTTCTGATGCTGCGGAGTAAGCAGAATCTGTTGGAATGATGCAAGTGGAACATCTTACAGTGTAATTAGCCGCATCTGACAGCGAGCCTGTCCTTTCCTATAAATGTTTTTCCGATGGCAACGTTCAGAGAGACAACGGTTAGGTCCTTCTTGCATTGCTGCTCAGTGTTAGCCACATCGAAGGCCTACTAGCTTCTTCACTTAATGCCGTCGGTTGAGAACTTGTATCGCGCCGGCCTGGCTAAAGTCGTCGACATTCCCGAATGCACGCCTGTACTGATCCTGCTGAGTCTATTCGACGCCCACTTGTTTCAGTTGTAGAGAAAATGTTATTTTTTCAAACTTATGGTTCTCACATTGAGGTTCAAAAAAACTGTTTCGGAAAAATTCACTGATATAAGAGAAAGGCAGCTGAGAAGTTGGACGGACAAGCTTAGGGCTGCCATAGTGAAGACAAAATCTTATGAATCAAGTCCGAATTCATAGAAGCACACTCAATGCGATTGGGAAGGACTCGTCGAGTCTATTACACCTCATCTATACGGTTGTATAAACGAAGCACACAGACAACTTTCGGTTATTTGTCTAGCAATGTATTCGTTCGTTCTGACGAGTGACCTGCAGATGTTGCAGAAATTGCTCGAACTAGCATTTGTTTTTCCACTGAAGATCTGGGACAGCTCTCCATGCGAGATATGATAACGGTACACTGGGCAGGAACTATCCCGTGATGTTTCGGGTTGTCTCCGTGATTCGAATTTCAGCGTGAGTGAGATATAACTCCTGTTCAATCCGAAATACATCTTTAAATAAGAAAGAATAAAAGTTTACAAGTAAAGTTTTTCCTTTCAGGAAACGGCACAGACTACGAGTGAGCCAGTCAGATCAGCTTTCCGAACCAGATTGTGTAGGCTAGAAGGTTCAACATTTTGGGCTTCTAGAACAACTTCATAATGGAAACGATGGCGTGTCTTTTCAGCATGTCCTTGCTCGAAAGTCGCGTCTAATCAGGCATCATTATGAATCGTTGATAGTGTTTCGGAATTGCCATTGAGTTTACGGTTCCGAACCTCCTTCTCCCAATTTATCCCTGACCCATAAGAATGGGGAACATCTTCTTCCAGCCAAAAGACCTATTCTGGCTGCGTTCGAGTAACCGTTGGCGTCCAACAGACGTCTTAAAAACTGCACACATGTAGACGATCTGTTGCTGCGTTGGAAGCAGGGCTTGATTCAATGCTCTTTTCCCTCCAGTAGAAGCATTTTTAGACTGTAAAATTACGCGCATCCTTGTTTATCTTCATTAGGGTAATCGTTTGCCTAGTAGCGCGATGAGCAAACTAGCAGATCGCACGAACTATACTATTTCAGAATCACTGTTAGTTGTTTTAGGCACATTTACAAGGATCCTATTGCGAGCGTTTTTATATATGCTTAAGTTTGTGTAGAGGATGAACATGGACCTTATCTTGTCATACAGAGAAGGCTTTTCCGAGAAATGTCACGCTGGTCTACACTTAGCTGATTTGCACGTCGTAATACTGTGATAACAGGCAGTAGTAGCCCTTTGACAGATTAAGCTTAGCTATAAAAATACCCCGCTTTTTGGGTGAGAACAGATTTCCTATCCGTTGGCATCGAAACGAAGTGCCCATCTTTTGCAAGCAACATAGATGGATATCGGGCCCCTAGAGGCTGAAAGCTTGATAACGACGGAAATACAGACGGGAGCAACTCGAAAGTTCGACGCTTGTGAAAAACGTTCTTTTTTTCTGCACGGGAAAGGGGTGCGACCTCATTCATATATTTCGTACAATTGATATTATCTAAGAAAAGAAGTCTGAAAAGTATACACTTAACATGAGGTTTCAGAATTCAGGCTTACTTCGGTTACATGCTGTGAGTAATAAGAATTTAACTTCTATCTCGGAAAATTAAGCTGTAATGCGTTTTTTTTTCTTTTCAGAATTTAAATTCTGAGGCGTGTTAACAATAATATAAAAATTCATAGAAATAGTTCTAGGAAATTATGCAATCAAAAGTAAAATTGAAATAAAAAATACTCGATCCATTAATCTACCAAAATGTTCCGGCGTTGTTACGGCGGGCACCAGGATGTTGACAAATGCAATGTTCAGCAGCGAAAATGCTATCTATTTTCTAATTTATGCATTGAATAGCTCTGTCTATGAAAACCTGTTTCTAACTGGTTTTAGGTGTTAGAGCTCGAGCACCATATGGTGGATAATCAGCACGGGCCGCGGAACAACGCTTGGGCCTATTCCACTTTCACCAGCTTATTGCAAAGTGGCACTTCCGGTAATACACACTTCGTTTATGACTCGTCCAGTAAATCTAATGCTGGACCACCCCCACTTGAACCTATTACTGGTCTACGACTGTATTCTGCCAGCGGCGATCGTCGACTGCCTCTTCTAGGACCAAGGAAAGAGACGTCCTACCGAATTGACAATGAGAGTTTAGCGTATGTTGGGATTCCAGATCCATCAGGACCACATATCATAAAAGTGGATACATCAAAACAGCGACCAATCATCCCAAATTACGATCTTCGCTCTCCGCTCGAACCGTCTGAAAAAGCACATGCAAAGTCAAACAAAAGCGAGCAGTAATTCCGTGACGGAATAGAGTATTAATAGGACATCTGGAGATTCCGTATTTTGAGGAATTTTGTATTTGTGGCATGACAATCGTAGGGCACCAGTTTTTGCAGTGGGCAATGGCGGTACGTTGCGCGGCGTCATGAGTAAAATCTGACAGATCCCGAAAAAAATGTTATATCTGTATTCAACGGAAAGACAACGACATTGTCTACAATATACTGCCATTTGTCTATTGACGTATGATTACTGTCATTTGCTTTCTAATAAACGTGTATCAAATGGCTTCTAGCGTAATTTGACATTAGTACAAGAGTAACTTGCTTTGTTGAAATAAGCTTGTGAATGCTTGTCAACAAATCTGCTCATATTTAAATCGGGTTGCCGTTGGAAGGTAACTAACCATTGTTGCTTTTGGTCATCCACAAGCAATTTATTATGCAAAAAAATCGTAGAAAATTAAATCGTTCAGCCAAGCATGATGTTGTCGATTATTCGGTCGCTTTCTGAGAAGAAACGTTATCCTTTAAACCGTAGGTTAGGTATGCTAGGTAATTAGGCTAACGTAGTAAGGACAGGAAGAAAAAAGCTTCGTGCGAAGAAACACGATGTCTTTCAGGTATTTAATATTTCATTATAATAATAATAAAACTAATTTACTTGGCGTACTCAATTGCTGTAACGATCTTCCATAAATCTATGTACATGCGTCTGCTAAATTAGATATCTTAGTAGTTTGCAGTATATAAGACACAAATTAAGGAGTGTTTAATAAAGATCAGCTAAAACATTTGCGGACGTTGTGGCGTACGTGAGAATAACGGCAAACCACTGTAGTATCTCAAGTTAGTATACGTCTAATTTTGAAAGTTGAACTCTGATACTGTTGCTGAAAATATTAACTAGCCTAATAAGTTCTGATAACTAGAAAAAGCTCTTTCTCGAACTAAAATAGTTTAAATTCAGATACCGGTCAAAGAGTAGGAAACTGATGTTTCTCTGCGAAGATTCTAGTAGCGTATGGCGATATGAATTCAGATTCGAGCATGGCCTGCGTTCTTTAGTGTTGAAAGCCAGTGGTAGATAAGTTTCATGTTCATATTTAGGCTACGGGAAGCTGATGACTCTTAGCATCCGTAAACTAACCCCTTCTAATTTTGCTCGTATATTAGCCATCCACTCGGAACTTTGTTTTCAAAAACGATCTAGAATCTGGTCAAATAAAGCGATTGAAGGCGTCAAAGGCAGACGTTGATAGAAGTCCTTCAGACGCAGTTAGGTCATGCGAACGTCCTGCACGGTTCTTCAAGCCCCTTAATCTGTCTCAGACCACTGAAACAACAAGAATTTATCATTGCAGTTGTCCTGCCAGTGAAGGTGGAGGTATTACTGACACGGGTCAGTAAATGTCGTCCATGGTTGGATGATCTCAATACTTCTGTGCCTGAGTGGGGGACGGGGATCGAAATCCTATTGATGCGTATGTGGCAGTCTGCTCTACGCTGCTGCTGTTATGGTAGTCAATGCCGATACGAGAGCCCATCAATGACAGAACGGTGACAGGAGTTCTGTGAATAGTATCCGTATGACTATGTTTGGCAACCTATCAGTGAAATAGTTGGGCTATGAAATTAATGAAAAAAATAGCCTAGAATTACTCAAATAGACAACATATTTTATTATCAATCTCTTTTACTGTGCTTCTCATAGTGGTCGTGTTAAATTGTATATATGTTTGAAATAACTAGAGGTGAATCTATCGCCTTGCTGTGCAAGTACCTACCGTTTTATTGTTATACGCGAATCTATTTTTTCTTCCTAGACTTCATTGATGACAATAATCTTTCAGTATCTCTATACATACGTATGTATGTTACAAAATATTTAATAATAAACATCGCCAATTTGCTTCCCTGGTACTTTCCAACTATTTAGCTCACCCCTTCTGTGCCTGTGTACTATTACCCCGTCATGATACAAGAGGCATGAGTCAAAAAATTAACATACCATAAAAAGTAACAAATTTACAAGACCGTTGCATGAATTCTCAATGGATGTTAATCATGAACAAATGTACAGTTCTATAATACAATTGTATTATGAAATAATCCCACAGCAACCATTCATTCGCCGGTAACTGTTTATGTGTATGTACGTGTTTATTTCCGTATAGGACCGTAAGCTATCGTATACCAATATATCAGTTAGAGCTGATGTTCAACTATTACCGTAGATCAAGCGTTCGGTACTGGCGATAGATTTAGCGTTGCTGCAGTGCTCTAGCACCGGCAGGCTCCGATTATTTACAGAGCAGTACGTAGCTGCAAATCTACATATCTTGTTCGGCATTACTATATATATATATATATATATATATATATTTACAGTAAATTGGACTCGGGAGGAATGTCGATCAAACGTATCTAATGTGTAGACCATATAATTGATGGATTCCGTTAATAGTCTTCGCTGAAGAGCAGATAGCATAAAGCGGAGTGATAACTGGCTTCGCGATCGATCGTTCCTTCTTTTCTTGGATGATCAGTCCTCAACTTCATTGAAAAAAAAGTCAGTTCATTCATCATATGCACAGATTCGGCTTGTTAATCGACCCAGGCACTTCCAATTAACCAAATAAAACCGACATGGAGAACTATCTGAAGATAAATCTCAAGCTTAACTGGAGAAGATTGTTTTTAAAATATACAGAGCTCTTCGTTTCGAAAAGTTAAACGGGTCATCAGACCAACGAAATTACAATTCAGATCCCAGGGCAAAATAAACGCCTACCCATTTACAATATACACTACATTATTTTGGCACCGTTGACAAAATTATCATATCACTAGCCATATGAGCCAAGATGTACTACTAAGTCACTCAATAGAGGCTCAATTATCATTAACGAGCAGAGCAGAGCCATCATTTTATATAGTTATCCGGTAAACTAATACTACAGAGTCAATAGGGCCGGGTCAGTTAGCGGCAAATTAATTAAATCTTAACAGGCAGCTTCACTTAACAACAAACCCTAAACTATAAATACTATATATTGCACCCAATGTGTGGCGACAGCTTTGGATGCTAGCTTGATTCATCGCTGAATCCCATCGTTGAATTCAGCCGCAATCTGCAGCGACTTTCCCATGAAAGGCGCAATTTGCTTTTTGGAGCAGAATTTTTGACGAAGGCGATGACATCACTCCCTCTGTTCTATTCTATGGCGGCCAGTACAGACTAATGGCGTTGGCGTATCGGCAATAAATTACTGATAAATTAAAGGTTTATAGTGCATTTGATGCTAAGTTCTGCTCTTAACTGGCCAGACTGTTGATATTTACCAGGAATAGTCATTGTGAGGGCTGACAACTCTGTTATCGTCAATTCCATCGCCTGATACATTTAAGGCCATTCCAGCAGTTAGTCCGGTTAATTCTTGCGGGTCAACCATTCCGAGTCCGATCATATTCTGCTGTTGCTGCTGTTGTTGATGATGATGGTGATGACGACTGAGGGACGGTGGCAATGGCGGGGGGTAGAAATCTTGTAAGGGACAACTTCCCAGGCCCATTCCGCTATCTGAATTGCGAATGAGCCCTATCCGCTTGCCACAGTTTCGGACCTTTAAACCAATGAAAGGTAAAAGGGATAGAGTGACTACTTGTAAGCTGACCTATGGAGACACATCGCAAGGGTGATTTTGCAATCTGTATAAAACGCAAATAACTTCTATAAGTTACTAAGTACAATCATCGATTGTACTTCCATGGTTTCTATCAAACGAACGTATATTGATGTGCCGTGTTCATATACAAAGTGCAATTCATTAAATGGCTTACCTTATAAATAACTTCTTCCTGCATCAGACTGAAACACATGGCAATTAGAACCATGCCCGCGAGTAAATACAACGAGCAGATAACCAACTTTTCTTGACTACCCGTGTCAGACACGCCTGGCACGAAGTCACCAAATCCTGTTTAGAGAGAGAGCATCGTATGATTACAAAAATGGCACAATTAAATGGCTTAATATGAGTATAATTATAGATAAGGTAATGATTGTTCCCACACGTCGACTTTTGCACGCAGTATTAAGCATAGCTGAACCAATCAAGGACAGAGTATCATAGATGTAGAGCGTTGTTTAGCTCATTTGCTAGCACAGAGGTACCATTGTCGCCCGTCTCGCATCGCGATATTTTCGCGTCGTAGTGGCAGTATGGCTGATTAATAATTCGTTCTTAACTCTCACAAGTCAGTCGGTGTCGACACCCATTAGACGGAGTCGTATGGGTCGCCCGACAGCAAGAGAAGTCTGGGCTGGACGGAAAAAACGAAACATACGTACATAATGAGAGGGTTCGTGGCGGAAGCCATGGGGCCATCTCGCGAAATGTTCATGAGACGGCGACCAGAAGTTGCTAGGGGAACTGCCGGTTCTAATATAGCTATTCTTACCACCTTGCCATGTGGTCTCATCAGAAGTTTTCCCCAATTAACATTCTTCCATTTGAATTCATATGCAGAGATCAAAGACTGGGGTTGGGAAGGGAATTAGCAGGAGTCCTTAAACGGCAGCGACCGAAACCGCTACTTCTAGGCCAACTGGAGAGGAGGGGTAAGGGCAGTATAGTCGCCATGAGGCGCGGGGTAGATTGTCTCACTCTTCATCGCGGGACGACTAGCAAAACAACAGATCGATTTCGGTGGCCACTGTTTGATGGCTAGTGATCAATAGTCCCACAGGATAAGGCACCCGGCCCCAGCTGACATATTATACTTAAGTTGAGCCTTGTATTTTGTCTTCGCATCATATATAATAAATAGACAGTGACCGACGCAAATGTGGTTAAATGGAAAAACCTTAATAATATAGTACGTAGCAGCAAAGTGACATTTACTTAGCTATAACTTTCACTGCATTTAACAGTAGCATAGGGTATATATACTGGAGTAGTGAACATAACAAGAACCGAAATTCTAAATATTTGAAGTACAATTCCATATTAGTTATTCTTTTTTCTTTACGTTCATCATTTCTTTGTATAGTTTAGAGCAATCCATATTTGCATAATAAATCCGTTGTGTTATTACCGTTAGACACATAAATGATTATATTTATCTGTTTGTATATGTATTCCTGATGCATTGGTGCTGTGGTGTTCAGCTTAAATGTACATTTACGGTGGCTTATATACATACTGTATTCACACAAAAAGTAATTTGGGTTATAAAACACAAAGGAATACAGCGAACTGAAGACAGTAAACTGGTTTTCGACAATCATCAGCTGGTGTTGCGTTCAATTTCTGCTCGAAGGTAACGTACCTATTGTAGACAAGGTGACGAAACAGAAGTAGGCTCCTTCAAGGAAGCCCCAGTCCTCCCAAAGCGAGAAGAGAACTGCTCCGCCAGAGATATACGCTACCATAATCAGAACACATAGCGGAATTGGTACAGCGATTCGCTCCTCTTCGCGACCTCGGGATCCTTCAAAACCTGCCAAGCCCAGCGAGGGACCGATCGGATAGGATGGAGGTACAGGCTGAAACCCGCGTGACGTATACAGCCCAACTGGGCCGTTATCAAACTTTGGACCAGCATTATCCATTGAAGGAAGCATCGGTCCTCCTGATACACCGCCTATAGCTGAACAGTCAGATAATAAGGCATAGGAAGAATATGACTTAAGAACAGTTGTCAAGTGTTATACGTAGATGGATAGAACAGTAAAAGTAAGTAAAAGGCGTCTGGAACCGACGGAATATCCATCAGATTAATGTACGGTAATGAAGAGCGCCAACAATGTTGAGAGCGTTCTGCTACTGAGAATTGAACTTATTCCATATTTCGGACGCCCAAACAATAGAATAGAGACCGTTACAACAATAACATCAATAAGACAATGAAAAACACTATAGACACTTTTATTGTAACCTTTTTATCGTAAGTTATTCGTTACCCATCACCAGCAGCAAACCAAACTCGAAGAAAACTCTTGCTCCAAAGGTTTTCCCTTCTCCACTGCTTTGTCCTTCCTTCTACTTTGTCACCTTCCGCATCTACCATCATCGAAGTTCAATCACTGTATGACACTGTGTGAACGCGTGTATTGAGACGGACTGGCTTAATTTTGTCGTTGACTAGCAAGAACGAACACTTGACAACCGTTGGCTGTGCGCTTCTACCCCTGTAGATGTGTATTCATGATTATGATGGTGTTGGCGCCATTAAAGTTTGAGTAGAATATACATTTTATGATGGAACGATTCTGTAGCTGTGGTAAAGGTAGAAACACGTGCATATTTTTACTTTTCGGCCCTACTTGTACACTTCCGTTTTCTGTGTTCGGTAATACTTCTGCTATGCAACGGCTATCCAACTGCTCGCGCACTGGTCTGGATAAGGGTGCCGAGCTGCGGCAGCGTCCTGCTCTTATCGATCTTGTCAACCCTGTTTAGCTGGACACAAGAAAAAATACGTACGAAAAAGCCGACGTCGTCGTCGTCGTTTGGACCGGCCTTCGTTTATAGGCAATGCGGCTAAGAACAAACAAAGATGCTACGAGAGTGCATGACTCACGGATTCGGGACGACTTCCGTTCCCGTACCCAGCGCATAGCCATAATCAGATCATTTGCTTGTTGCGTCGCCATCGTCTTCGGCGGTCTCTCTTTCTGTCAAGCACTGTTCGACGAAGTCTATCCGTGTGCGCCTGTACGTGCGTAAGCGTACCTATGTAGAGCTCCGCATGTTCGTTACACGTCAGAACATGATGGAAGACGAGTCGGACGGCAAGCGGACGAGGAAGGCCGTTAGGGCAACGGGAAGTGGTAGGCCAGGATAAGCTCGTCTAGTTAGCAGGTCCCGACATGTTGCATGCAATTTAGCGCCAGGCTTTGTCCGTTAGTTGTGCATGTAGACATCTAGCCTGCCAACGTACCAATTTGTGGCAGGTCGTGAGCTTACCAAGCTCCGCGTCCCGCTTACCCGCATCTGATGTGCTTCTCGGCCTCGAAGATTATCGTTAAGTAAATTGTAAGACACAGCAAATTCTACTTACTGACTTCATTATGATAATGGCTCATTAGACTAGTCCCGTATTTTCTGCTGTCAGGAATTACGTTTCACAACTAACATCCGACTTCGCGCATGAGTTTTGGCATACCATCAAACGGAAGGTCCGAAAGACAAATGTTCTATGTCGGGACCGAGAGAACTTTTGGTCAGAACGCGGTCAAATAACGCATGAAACGAACATCTGTACAAACGAAGACTAGTATGTTTGGTCGAACAAATATTTAGCAGCGGCCTAAATATGAGTCTTGTTCTACACATAAAGATTCTCCACAAAAACATGTACGTTAACTTTTCGCAAGGTTTACTTTTATACAACGCATGCACTCGTTTTTAAATGGAAAGTGGTGTCGATACGTTGGCACTGCTGTTACGTAATGAGCCTCAAGAAATTTAATGTGGTGGTCCGTAAGTACAACAATACCGTGGGCTCTCGAAAGCAGCAGAGAAATGCTTTGTATCTGATTCTTAACCATTGGTGGTATTGGAACTTACATCACGAAATAGGAAAGATATGACCTCTATACGTATTTCTCACCACAATGCCATATAACTAGAACAAGAGACCATAGATTTAACCCGCATACGTTAGATTGCCATTAAATTTCCAATGCGTCTCTCGACTGAACGAATTGTCTGAAAAGCTTCTTGGCTTGCTCTGAAAAGAAACATTCTTCAAGATGAAGGAGATTTACAATACCTCAACTGTTCGACAACGGGTTTATCATGCGCTTGGAATGGGTGTAAGTTCACGCAATAAGCTTTAAAGAGAATCATTTTTTCCCCCACGAAGCTGAAAATTAACATAATGGTAAAATAACGCATTTTAAAAAAAAGTAGCAATTAGGTAACTGTCATTTGAGACAGTTGAAAAAAATAGAAAGACTAGTACTAGTAACTTTATGCCGATATAAAAGTGAGATATTTAACTAAAACTGCATTGAAAGATAGCTATTGACAAAAACAATGGATAGCAGCATGCTTTCTATGCCGGTTGAACTGTGACTTTTCCGGGTATAACGTTATTACCGTGTGAAGCTTGTCTATTGTTTCCGCCGAGCTCATCAGGCGTCATATCATCGAAGTGTTGTGCAGCAACGGTGTCATGTGGCGTCTGATTAAAGTCAAGAATCTGTGTGGTCTGAGTTTGCTGACGTACAGACCCTCCTACTTTCTCTGGAGGGTCTACCGAGTAGTGATTCAATGGAGAATTATGCTTAGCGAGTTGCGGACTCTGCTGCACCTGTTAATTATAGAAAAACGTGTTAACTAGCATAGCAAATGATTCTGTAATGTTATTTTTTTTTTTATTAGTTTTTAGGCATAAATAGTTATCTCAGGTTTATTGAAGTGTCCAGCCCTGACTCGAATTGCCCGCGTTCAATCCCATAGATTCGATGATTGGCTTCTTCTCGTGTATATTAGCAACCTCCATTCTGCTGCGGCCAGCTGCTAACGATGCGCAGTGCACGTACGGATCGTCAAGGCCCCCCACGTAAAGCAATTAGTGGGCCAATCTTTTGGGGGGGGTCTTTCATAGCGTTTCATTGACAGATTTGTATAATAGCATTGTCTACGCGCGTTGTTTGTTAAAAAGTACTACTGAATCTTCAACCACGTTTTGCGTTAGATGACGCCCATTACACGTCATCTATTTGGAACTGTACATCTCTAAAAACATTTTAAAGAAAAAGGCATTTGACAGATTCTAATAAAAAGCCAGATTTTACAGTTGTTACGTACTATGTACAGCATTATACACTATACAGATTACGTACACAAGTATTACCTTCTGGAGAAGGTCGCATCTTGAGCGCAGTATGTGCGTGCATGATGCAAATATGTTCTTCGTACGCAAGGACAGATGAAATGTTAGGCTAACCAGCAATTCTTTGTCAGCGATGGCAAATATATCCTACTTCGTTTGGTGCATTTTCATTATTTCCAAACAGACTAAACTGTAATGAAAAGCGGGGAAGAGATGTTTTCGTTTTCAAGAGGTATTCGTAAAGGCGGGGGAACCAAAAACAAATTGCTAAGAGCCATACGAAAAATGCAGGGACAACGAAATCGTACCATTCGGTAACTGGAGTAGCTGTTCTGGCTATTCATTCTTGCAAGTGTGTTCTGTGCCAACGAGAGCGAACCCGTTCCGGGCGGACTCTTGACGGGTGAAGCTCGACAACACGAACATAGCTTTCCGTACGTATACCTGAAGTGCGCGAAAGAATACATCAGCGCGAAAGTTTCGTTAGTTGAAAGCTTTGGCTGGATCACAACAAATTCGGGTATCATGGCGATGGAGGCGTCTCAATATCTCTAAATTTTTATATATATATTATAATGACGATTCAAGACGTCTAATTATAGTAGGCATTGCGCTGTTTGTTTGATCTCCACATATAACGTTCTCCAGTATAGAAAGTAAACTCAGAGCATACGTCGTGAAACTGGACACAGAGCTATATTTCGCTAGTAACTTATGGTAACTGAATCCTCGGCTGTGTCAGCTCAGAGAAATGAAGTTGTTGACTAGCTGCGAGGTTATTATTATTATACTTTGTACGCCATTGTTCTATTCAGTGTTCGTAAAAAGTCTATAACAATGCAAGTTAATCATAATAGAGGTGTCGTTAATCATTAGAGTGGACTGGCCCTCGCAGGCTACGTATCTATGTCTGACGCAGCGGAGAACTACGAGTAAGCGACCTGAGAAACGTCGAAAAAACAACGGGACTGTTCCCTGTTTAAAGAACTCTCCAATACACACGTCAAATAAATCTCTTAGTCTTCGTGCTAGCTTTGCAGCATGCAATTAACATTGTAATAAAGTTGAAATGCATAAAATGGTAGCAATACTCCCTGTGCGTTTGATCTCTATAATCAAAGAACCTCCTGAGATCGAAACGTGAAGACATCTGAAAAGCTTCGTATTTTCGCCAAACGTTAGGTAATAGTCCCGGCTTCACCGTCACTACTAATGATTTATTATTAGTCAATAAAGCACGCAACAATCTTGTTTTTCGGGAAGTTTCGTACAGATGCCTAATATAATACACGAGTGATTACCATTTCATATGAGTTAACTGTGAACAAAGCGCCAAGTTTTTGCACCCTTAGCTGTTTAAAGCGCCAGGTAACTTGTTTAGACAAGGGCTCACTCATCAGCCGTTTGTATACTCCAAATTCAGCCCTTAATTATACCGTGTATAGTGGTTGCTTTCGTTTGATAACGGTATCACCGTCTTTCTAGCGTCAGGCCGATGTTCTGGGCATGAAACATGAAGGATTACAGAAAGCGTCATCTTGTTTTCAGAGAAGACGAATGTAACGTCTTGCAATGACGTAAAAACTTCCAGAGCCCAAGGAGATGTGAGGACCATTCGAAAGTGTAGGCAAGTGGTTTGGCCTGAAATGTTACAGTTTTCGAATGAGCCCGCAATGCGCATTATCAAGGTGCTTAACTGCTTCGCTCAAATTAGAGCCCTATTAGTCAGATTAGACAAATCCGTTGAAGACTTTAACTGTTCCGCTTACAAGCGTCAGGCGCCGATGGACTGTCAAAGCCTATATAATGTATCAGAACCCTTTGAGAAATATACGAAACACCCATTAAAATATGATCATTTGGCTGTGATTGTTATTAGCAAGGCGTCAGATTAGCAAAACAAACTTTTGTAACAGCATCCCTTATTTCTAGATAACGCAATAAAAGGCAAACTGGAATCTCTTACGTACTCAGTACAACAAAACACATAAGCGAAAGGACCGCGTTCGAACTCCACGTAATAACAACTCTGTGTGTAGCTGTTTGGTCAGCTAACTGGTACATGTAACGTGAGCGCTGCAGATGTTTGTGTGCGAAGGCCGGACTAAGGTCGTTCGGACGTGGGCAAACACAATCTTACTTATAGCAATCAGTAACGAATCGACTAGGTCGACGAAAGATAAAAAAGAGGAGGTGAAGGGAGAAGAGCAAGCGCACGACTGGGCAAATGGAAGGGTGGACGCGGCCCAAACAACAGCTGCCCTTCCGACTCTGTCCGAGCGTGCGAAGCAAGCCAAATTGAACCCAGTGAACTGAGACGCTGCCATCAGCGTTCAGCGTTCGGGAATCATTCGCATCTGTTGATTGAAGAAGAGGGCATCACAGACATTATGAACGGCTAGTAAATACTACGGTGACTCTATACATATATGAGCATATCCGGATAATAATAATAATATCGTGTATCTATGTATCAACAACGATGGAAAGCATCGGATCAAACGTCGACGCATCTCTAATATATGTCGAAAACACTTTCGCCTGACAAATATCTATATTAAAATACGCGCATTGACAGGTACAGGTTCAAATATGTCTGGCAGTAATACGGAGACCGTGACATCATCAAAGTCCTTACCCAACGACGTATATGACGTCTGTCTTCATCGTTCATCGATCATGAGCATCAGTTGTTTTTCTACTTGAGAGACCATGAATAATGAAGCCCTTTGGATATGCTGGAGAACATGGAAGTTGCCCTATGACGAAAACGGTAGGGTACTAAGTTTCAATGTTTATGTGTAAGTTCTACAAGTGCTTCGATCACTTGCAATTCAACGGCAGCTACGGTATTCTAAACGGCGCAAAAGTGGCACACACGCCATGAAACAATGGAATCTAGGCAAATTTGGATAGTAAAAAATACTTAATCTTTAATTCGAGTATTTGATGCAAATAACTTTGTTAAAAGGCCTAAAAAAGTAGCTTTACAATGTACAGTGTATATAGCTTGACCAAGTCAAGCTCTACCAAAGCTGACTTTTAGCATTTTGCAACACCGCTGCGTAGTCGTTTCTATTTCTGAAACACTTAAGATAAGATATGATATTTTTTTTGAAAGAAGAATGTTCGATCTAACAAATAGACTAGGACTAGTTTCAAGAAAAAACAAATTCCGTAACAAATGTTGAATGAGGGATTTCATCAAGGCCTTCCGAACGACCAAGCTATTTCTAGATTGATTCACTTGATTGCTTCATAGACTAAATTAAATATGTCTCATCACGACCTTATGCGTTATCTGAAACACTCTTTAGACTTCCTGGAGGGTCCATGAGACCAGCGCCAATAGAACGAAACCTGTGCATCTGTCTAAGTTTAATCTGTGCTTCATACAACCTTATCATTCACATTGTTGTAAGACAAGCTAAGGCGTGACAAGCAAAAGGCAACCCGTCGAATTCTGCGCCAGCGTTTATACAGCAAAGAAGCAAAAACACCTTTCTATGTTCCGAGTTTTACGTCCGGTATCGCCGTTAGCTAGTATCCCATCAGGCGGTTGGCTGGCTCTCAGCATGAAATGACCCGCGTACCTATGCCTATGGGTTTGAACCTAGACCACAACGGGTCCCTAAAAAGTTAGCAGGCAAAGACGTTACCTACTAAGCTATCATTGGGAAAATGAAAAACAATATAACAGCTATCCAAGCAAAACCATCTGGGTAGATGCAACAATGTTTCAAATTTACTTAAGCTGAAGTCTGCGAGCGCAACACATATAGTTCGTGATCCGGTTTAATTTGAACTGTTCAAAGAGGAACAAGGCAATTTCGAAAAAAGTTGAGACGATGTAATATTTTTCTTTGCTCTTTTCAGGTCGTTATTGGCTTAGGGCAAGATCTTTCGAAATGCTGATCTGGAACCATCGCATTCCGTTGTAGCCAGAGCAGACGAATCACTGACAACAGTTCACGAAAGCAAAACTTCGGAAAAAAATATTCGCTACGTCTTCCTTTCCAATAGTTCATCGCACAGTAATAAACTTATAGTTGTGAACGTTTTCTATAGAAGCTTTCGTTCTTGTTCCGCTGCTTCGTTCAATCTCAAAGATTCAATGCAGAACTTGGAAGTTGCCAGGGAAGAACCAAGGGACACACGGCGAGAAATGCAACTGACGCCGATTGCCGACAACAAAAGTGTAAACGAAGCAAAGACATATGGCCAGATCGAAGGCTGTACAAACAGCTAGATGGAACTATGTTCTATAAACAGACACATACACACGAACACTTGCGGAGAATTAAAGACGTCGATGCATCCATAGCGACAGCCAGACTCTAGGATGCGACTGCAAACAGATTCATGGAGCCGTTGCCAAGAAAACGCAGCTGAAGACAAACACATATCTGAAGCCCTTGTGATTTTGCCACACGATCTCTAGGCGTAGCGGTTATGCTAATGTGATATATCTGATGGCAAAGTACTGGCCATAAGCACAGAAGAACTACATCAAGAGACCTACATGACACCGTCACAGTGGTTCCCTGCCGGGCGAATCTGCCACATGTTGAAGTGGCACGTTGAACATAAACAATTTTGAAAACAAAATTAAATTTGTAGATTGAAACGACAAGCTGATACTAAGCATATTATATACGCAATGATCAGGCTGCCGTATTTTATTGATAGAACTAGATGATCTGATCGAACGGTGGATCGTTCGGTCTAACACGCATCCTTGTCCACAGAACTACGCTTGTGTCAGCCAACCTAAGTTTGGTCACCAGAATTATTTGAATCTTTGTAGATTTTCTCTAAAAATATGAAATCAGTAAATGTGCCCTGTGATTTAGCTCACAACTGTGTGACATTGCCTTTATCAAGGGAACCTAGCACGTTCTTGCGTGTAGGTCTAGAACACCTATAATCTACTGAACAGTGTTTCCGAAAATCGACCATTTATGTTTGCTGGACAAGCTGCATCTAACGTTGTTATATCAGTAACGCAGATGCGGGGGTTTATATAAATATGCTATTATCAATCATAGCGTCAGATTCGAGCGTGTAGCAGGTATCCGTGTTGTAATTCTGTTCTGCCTACTTAATTGAAACTGATCATGTCTGCGAAAATGCTAAGAGAACTAGGACGAATATCTACAAGAGGTTTTCCCTCACGTAGGCAAGGGCAATACTTTCTTATGTACACTAGATAGTTCAGCTTGAATGTAAGTACACCGAGCACCATACCTGAAGGCTTTGGCGAGAATGTCGCCGACATTAGTGAGGTAAAGCAGCATCAGGGGTATTCCTATAATAGCGTATAGCATCGTGACGATTTTTCCCAGTTGCGTTCTGGGTGCAATATCTCCGTAACCTGTTTGAATAGGAACAAAAACACCAACATCACACGTATCAGTTAATCTTAAGCTCTGTATATATATATCTCTTCATTCAGTTTGTTTTTTAGGTAACTCACTGCTTATAATATAGAAAAATTGTACTTTGAATTTAGGTAAACTCTCAATTTAAATTTTCCGCGAGCAATAAGGCCACGATATGATAATGAAACAAATTTGTAATTAATGTTGTGTATGTTTTATGACGTTTGCAGATTGACGCTCAAAAAATAACTACGTTTTGATTACTATTATTTTCTATAGTAATATAGATCTAGAAATCGGACTATTGCGAATGCCTTTTCGTGTTTCTATTTCTACTTATTGCTTCAGGCTATGTACAATACTTGCATAGAAAATGGCCAAACGAAGGAATGTCTGACTGTCCGCTGATATGACGACAGCGTTGCCTATAAAAGGTCGACTAACTCATAGACTCTAAGGCGTCAGACAGTGTACGACCTCCAAAACGCCCTTCATTACACTTTCTTCAGTAAGTTAGAAAATCTAAGCGATACATGCAACAAATACCGTTATAGTTTGCCTCTAGTCACCACTGACTTTCTGTCCAAACAAACATCCAGCCGGACGCAAGGACTTGGAAATACGTTTTCAGGACAGAATTTTGGAATAGCTTGGCTGTAGTTAGCTGGAGTAGTAAGTCTCTAGGAGAATACCGAGTTAATAGGATTTGGTACCTCAGATCATCAAACCCGCCGCCTTTGAGCAATTTCTTGATGAATGCAGACGAAGTGGAACATCGATCAATGGTGCTAAACGCCCAACGCCTTCCGCAAGACGCTGGTTTTTATTGAAACCGAATTTTTCTAGTGCGTATACACTGGCTTTTAATGGCTTACCTTCATGCAAAGATGAGCAGTCGTAATGGCTGGATGATGTTACGCAGAACAAAAAAGGAAACATCACAAATATAATACCAAACAAAATGAATAGACAGAAAGCAGAGGTTTACGGATATTCCTATCAATGCTTGTTGCACTTGTATTGCTTTGATTAGTGAAAAAGATCGGACAATTCAACCCCGTGCGTAAGTGAATCACTGCAAATTATACAGCCTCAGAACATGCAACTACCAATATAACCAATTCATCTGAATACCTTCAGAAAAATAGGATTTAAGGTTTTGATCAGGTTGCTTGAACATTTATCAATCCAGCTCTGATATCAATATTCAGATTTCGAACCTAAGCTGAGTTTAATGAGGTAACCAAAATCAGATTCAAGTCAGCTTTGCTTGCGAAGTCATCTACACGATGCCACATGCTCGTCCACACGCCATTTCGGCCATCAAATTGAATATCATTACATTCTGTATTAATTATATATCGAAAAGTTCGTTTCCAGCTAGCCAAGACTGTTATACGCGCCTTTTTACTGCACACTTTTAGTCTAGCTTCCCGCCAACAGAAATTATAACAGCAAAGGAAGATTGGAAAATCAATAAGGTACGGTTTTTGATTAGGAGTCACACCGAGTTTTACCAATTATCGGTAAATTACCATTGCAGCTTCGGAGATCTAATACACATGTTGGACTTAGCCTATAAAACAACGTTCTACCTTGTTACAAGCCATACAGAGCGCTGAATATACAACTATACGGAAACGTTCCAAAATAGAGAAGAGGGATTTCGAACAAAGGACCAACATACTTGAGGGAATTAAGAATTTAGTGACTGTGGTAAGTTTTAATCGGCATAGAAAACAGGGACCGCATAATTGTTCTCGACGGTCTTTCCGTTGAGAATAATAACTTCGGTGCTTTCTTTCTCTTAAAGCGAAATCTATTGGGAACTTCGTTTCTCAAAATAACTAACCACAGTATCGAGATCCTAGCCATTAATCAGCTTCTAGGAGATTAAAGCTATAACACATACATACACACAGCTCAAGTTATGTGACAATAGATAGAAACTTTCATCTTTGTCTAGAGCATATTGGGGTCTCTGAACATGCTATACCTAGCGATACTATTGTGTTATGTTGTTGATTTACTTACAACAATGGTTGTACACGTAACTGAATATACTGTATGCTATATAGCTATGTACCTGCCATTAGTTGCTTGTAATTTTGCATTGGGACTTATTGTTACTAATATTGTCTCTTCGTTGACACAGAATACGTGGATTTCATACCGTAAACAGTTCTTAGATCACCCAATGTCTGTCTTATTGACCCAAATACATGTTATAGCCTCAGCTTACGAGTTGCCTAATTTGACAGATTCAGTAGTCATTATTTAGATGAGCAATTTATTTCTTAGCTATTTCAAGAGACATTTTTGCGCTAATCCGTATATCGACCCACATTTGTCCCATGAAGGACGTCTTAAGTATTATTCAATGGGATTTTATCTAACAATTCCTAACCCTTTATACCACTTTCTTGAACCGTCCTAGCAGTCCTTAGTGCAACTAAGTGTCTAAAACAAAGCAAACACAGAATGAGATGTAAACCTCTTTGTGCCGAATTCGTGTGTTTATGGGAACGGTTTATCCAGCCACAGGATATGGTTCTTATACCCTTTTGATCATGACCAATGTTGCTTAATTAAATATAAAATCTTTTTACGGATAACTACGAATAAATCGAAACAAGAGCTAGCCCCAACACTATGACTTGTCAAGTCGTTTGCTATAAACGTAAAATGGCTAAATTAGCCAGATTACATCAAAGAATTTCAAAATTTAAATTAAATTCTCAAAAAAAAACAGCGGTTGAGCTGTTACTCTTAGCCATACAATTATAAGTAGAGTGTATTGATAAGTTACGATTTCTGCAATGTTTCTTGCCTACGATATCTATAACGGCCCCTACAACCTTGAGAAAATAGACAAATGCATTCAAGGCTAGTTCTCAGGGGCGACTAACTTTGACGAAACCTCGTCCCAATCGAAACTGTATATCTAATCATTTGGACATCTTCAACTGATGTTAAGTGTTCCATATCATGGCGCATTCGATTTAAAGTTATGAGCCTAGAGGAACTTCATTAGAATCTCGAATCAGTGTCAGCCTGATTCTATGCTTGATACCTTTATCAGTGTTCATTTGTTAAACGTTCATTATAATTATTTGTACAATTATTCAAGTATCCGAAGTGAGTATTATAAATGTTTTGAGATTTTTGATAAGGACTAAGAAGTTATTTATAAGACTCTTGAGAGTCGCAAGTTTCAAGTGGTAAAAACGACCAGACCTTTGGCTAGTCGCGCAAGTAGGATTTACCTAAACTCTAATAACTCTAAGTCAAGCGACGTGTCCTATTAACAACAGTTGTCTGTTTCTTGATTTAGTTCCTATATATATATATATATATATATATGTATTGCATTTCCGGCATAACTGAGGGCAAAAGTTGGATACGCACTATGAAAACGAGTGGTTTAAATTGGGCCTGCTTCCAAGTCAGATAGTAAACTATTGTATGAGATAATCGACTTTCGCAGGGTTCACACTAGATTTTTACGTGAATGCTGCTCCTCTGTCGCCTTTTACAAGGGCTTTATGTTCGGTTACTTGAGGTTGCTAATGTAACAGCTGGTGCAATTAGAGTGTCATCGTAATCCCCTTAGATCCATAGGCATTGATAAGGCCAACACCATATCGACTTTTACTTCAAAGACGAAATGTTGAAACTCCTATTTAGACGAGCTCTTGCTTATCTACACAGGAAAAGAAACAGAAATACATACTCTCGAAAGATAAGCACGTTGGCTGAGCGTCAGAAATTTCCCTTACACATGCTGTTGGAGTCCTGCTGATTTTTTTAATTGACTTATCTATTTTTCTTTTTTTTTAATTTATTCAAGACTAGCCTCGTAAGTCCCGTTGTGTCTTCGGAGATTACCTTACAACATAAACTGCCAACATAGTGGAACTTAAGCCAAGCATATTTGGTATCCTAGCTTGATGAGCAAAAAAAGGACTACCAACAGACACTCAATCTAATGGAAATATTTGACATTTTTTTCGACCATCAACCACCATGTGAGAAATAGTAGCGATGTTTACAACAGCTAACCAATAGCTATTATCATAATGATACGAAGGACAAGATGCACTACCTCAAGAACGACTTTGACCTATGTATATACAACATTGGTACTATCCAGCGAATAATCATTGAGTGCAAATAGATATACACGCATACGATAGATAGATGCCTAGAAAAATATATAGACCGTTGGCAAACTCTAAAACCGTGAGCTGGCTAAATTAACCAGAAAATCGGCTGCTCTTCGTAGTGCATAGTGAGGCATAAACTTTACAGCCGAGACCCTTGACAGCTAGCTATGCGTTACCAATGCGATGATGTTAAGACAACAGTTTTCCAGCGTGACCAGGTGTAGACTGTTAGTGCCGCAGACCGGTGAGTGTGCCCAGCTCGCCGGCGTTTCATCCAAAATCATTTGGCGGTAAGTAAGGCTTAGATTCTGATCAAAATTTTATGGGTATACTCTACAGGAGCCTGCTATCACAGGCAAAACGCGCTAGATATGCCAGAGATGAAAGACAATCCATCTCAACAACGGAAGTTTCGACCGGTGGCTTAAATGCCACGCGAGATCGTGGGAAAACCACGCCTGGAACGTTTTAATGCTATTCAACCTATGGGGCAATGATTGAAAAAGCGGGCGGAAATAACAACACAAGAGCAATTAGCATGCACACGTTTATTTTTGCATTTAGCTTTAGTTTCTGACTAGACCTTCTGTCTTCGAGTCGAACGCAACGCATTGGATCGAATGGTGGCGGCAGACATTCGGGTGTTGGAGATGTTATTCCATTGAAAAGGTTACACTGGCGGATGGAAAGGACCCTAAAGCGGAACTAGATCGTTCGAAAGACCGGCGACAACAGAAGGGTCGCTACTGCTACGATCATTGATCCTACTGTCGTCGGCGCCTACCGAAAGCCAACATCTATTCTCCAGCTACTTTTGCTTGACTTGT